TCCCTAGTGTTAAGAAAAAAATAGAAAGAGTAAATAAGATCCAAAATGTACAGCAAACATTGTGAAAATGGAAGAGAAAGAAAGTGCTCCAAAGGAAAGAACTGGGATAGAGGAAAGGAGAAAAGGAAGACGGGAAAATATTACATGTATTTAGGTATACATATGTGTGTGTGTGTGTGTGTGTGTGTGTGTGTGTGTGTGTGTGTGTGTGTATGTGTGTGTGTATGCATGATAGATCACTATACTACTAATCTGTTAGTTCATCCAAAAGAACAGTTTGTGTTTTCATTGTTTGATCATTTTTTTGTGTGCCTAAATCTTACAACCTGAACAACTACTTCTAAGATAACAATATATAATACATCAATTAGTGTTAAGTAGTGTTAATTAATTAGTGTTTTCTACTATTTTTTGAAATTCTGTATCATTTCTATCCTTTTTTCTGTTTTGCTTTTTAAAATAAAAAAAAAAATATTGAGTAGGCTACTTCCCAGTGGGTTCAAGAGTCTATAGTCATTCTCAGAGTTCTTCTCTGAAAAAGCTGTCATGTCTGCTTTGTATGTGTTCCTTCTTGGTTTACCCATGACTTTCTCTCACATTTTATTTCTGGTTGCCATGAGATGATCTCATATGTCGGATAGCACCCCCAATCAGGCCATTACCTAAGAGCTGGATTGATTCAGTTACCTGAAATTACTTCATGTGTCCTTTGAGGAAAGTTGTAAGCGGCATTCTCACTCCTCTGAGTGGCTGGTTATAAGCCACTGTCTTTTTGTACCCTTAAGGTTGTAAATCTCAGGCCACCCTGTTTCACTGCGCCCCTGCTTACCAACCAGTCTGCTATCTTTCAGAGGATTCCTTCATCAGTTCTGTGTCCCTCCCCCTAACAAACACAGGCCTCTTCCTCTCCACATCCTGCAAAGATCATGGATGCTCATTTTAATTTACTATGACACAATTCCAAATGCTTGCATGGTTTGCTGAGAGTCATCTGTCTTCAAGCCTGAAATATCAAATTCTGCCTGCCCTCAAAAGGACACTCAGTGTCAGGTTTTTAGTGTCATCCTTGTACCTGTGGTCTAGCATCATGGTGCAAATATCCATTTGCTTAGAGTAGAGGAGGTCATTAAGATGCGCAGAATTACAGTAGCTCAAAGCAGATAGAGTTTCACTTGTCTGTGACCTGTGTATAATTGAGTGTGTCCCTTGACAGCATCCAGACAGAAACCCAGCCTGAGAAACTGTTGTCCTCTGTGTCACCAGCAGGCCCCTTCAGGCAGAGTGGATTTTATTTCTCGGGCAGCCCCATCCTACCTGTTGTCTGTTGGTGGCCAACCACTCAATGCAGATTTCCACCCCTGGCTTGATATGTCCTTTCTCCACTGCTCCCCTAAATGGTTCCTTGCTTTTCCCCCCTGTGAGCACAGGGAGTCAAACAGCTCCCCTCTGCTATCTTAGCTGAGATCCTGGATGCATAGAACTCCCCTGGATGTCTCCCTATCTCACCCCTGACCCTCTCTCCCTCTCTTAGCCTTTCCTTAGCATTGTGTTCTGAGGTTCCATAGTTTCTTTTATTTCCCAAAGACAATATGGTGTTTCAGCTCCTTAGCTCCCTAATTCCTTAGAGGTGATTTTAAGGGGTTCTCTGGCGATCAGGTGAGGCTGTCCCGGTGGGAATCAAGCCACCATGGAATGCTGCGGTATAAAGTGACTTTAAATGTGGAAGTCATTGGGGCAGTGAGATGATAATGAACAGTAATTTAAGCTGAACACAGTAATTGCATCTTATCAATTTTGTAATAGGACGGTGACTCAGTTTGAAATATTCCCACTCTTGCAGTCTGCTCCACGTATGAAAGATGAAGAAGGGAAAATTGTGACTTAACACATTTTTTGTACAAGGTTTCATTATGTAGTCTGGTCTTGATTTTACTGTGTATCCCAGGCAGGCTTGAACTTGGGACCCCTCTGCCTCAGCCTCCAGGATGCTGGGGTTATAGGAGTGCTCAACTGTGTCCAGCTTGTGGTGTTGAATTTTGTGTATAAGTTTACCAGAGCTATAAAGTGCTCAAACACTTAATGAAATGTTATTCTAGGCGTATGGGTGAAGGTGTTTCCAGGCAAAATTAATATTTCAGTCCGCAGACTTATGTTATGTTACGTGCATATCCCTTCCATATGTGAGTGGGTCTTACCCCACTTTGAAGACTTGCAAAGAACAAAAGAATAGAGAAGGAGGAAGCTCATCTGGCCTGGTTATTTGAGCTGGAACATAGCTTTGAAATATTGGTTTGCTCACTCAGAATATAATATTGGCTGAACTTAGGTCTTGAGCCTGTCAGCTTATACCATCTCTCTCCTGCTTCTTCTCAGGGCTTAGGGTGTGGCTTTGAACTACATACAGGCTTTCCTGGTTCTCCAGCTTGCTGACTATATATCTTGGCATTTCTCAGCCTTCATGACTGCGTGAGCCGATTCCTTATGATAAATCTGTGTGTGTGTGTGTGTGTGTGTGTGTCTGTGTGTGTGTGTGTGGTGTGCATCAAAAATACAGTTGTGTTTAAATTACAAATTATTTCAGTAAGAGACATGTTGCCCTTACTCCCCTTCAGAATACTTCTCTTGCTCAGAACACACTTCTCCCACAGTCTTACCACTTTCTGAGGCAAATATGCAAGTCATCTTTAACGTCTTTAGTTCTCCTACTGTGGCCACCTTCATGTCCTGTATCCATGTAGAACATTTCTCTATCATCTTGTCTTTGGAGAAAAGCCAGGAATCATATGGTCCCAGAATAAAGTGGAGGTGGACGCACAGAATGGTTGTACAAGCCAGCCTTTCCATTTGGATTGCACTTGGTAGCAGCTACCATCATACTGTGAAAGACTTCCAGCCAAAAAAATAGCAAAAGAAACTTGCCCATAAACTCCAGAATGGATAAGAAAGATATGGTATTTCCAAGCAGTGGAAAACTACCTTGCTATAAAGTAGAATAATCACAAGGCTCCTGTAGGTAAATAGACACAGCTGGAGATCATGTTCATGGGCAAAGCAGTTTGAACTCATATGTATGAACCCTAGCATAAGAAACAGAAGGAGTTAATGGGATCCAAAAGCAAAATAGTTATTGTAAGAGTGATAGGGGAGGAGACATCTGGGAGGGAAAGGTGATAACTACTGTTAATTTCTTATTGTCTTGTCTTGAGCTCTTGCATTGTTTTCACAATTTTGTTAGGTTTGGCTTTGTTCTGTCTTGTTTTGTTAGATTTTACTCTATTTGATGGTAGGGGAAGCTATTTTGAATATAGTGGGATATATTATGGTAATCATGGTTTCCTATTATATTGCTTTGAAGGCTTATAATGCTTTCATTCTTTTGAATAGTTTTATACTATTTTGTTATGTTTGATATTATTGTGTGTGAATGTATGGTCAACTATTTTGAAGAAAATAAGACACATTATGGTAGCCACTGTTGATGTCCTGTTGTTTAATTGTGAAGTCCTGTGTTGCTTGCATTGTTCTGTTCTGATTTACTTTGCTCTGTCTTATTTTCTTTTGTTTTATTCTCTTTGAAATAAAAAAAAAACTTAAAAAAAGACTTCAGAACTGCTTCAGAACTGGCAAGAATGGTGGAATAAGTATATTTGAAGGAAGAGAGCATATTCTGAGGGAAACTAATGGCAGTGTGTCTTTTCTACTATAATAAAACCTCAAATACATATATGAATGACAAGAAAGAACACTGAGAGATTAACTATGGGATTGCAATGTCCAGAGTATTTTATCTGAGTATTGGCTGCCTTGATGCAAAAATTTTAGTTTATTGAACTCTAAATTAAGATTCCTCCATTTTCCATATTCAAATTATGCCTCAATAAGCTTGATTAAAGTTTGAAAATCACACAGCTAGTGAATGCCAGAGGCCCTATTCCAGCATATTACTGTGTCGTCTCAAAACTGCTCTTCTAACCTGCATCTTACGGTTTGTGTCTGAATGTCCCCTCAGAGCCTCATGTGGTCAGGGGGAGGGTGGGTAGCACTGAAGGGTGAATCCCAATGTGTGCCACTGAAAGTTTTTAATGTTCATGTTCTGTATTCCTATGTTTCTTCTGAATTGAAAATATTAGTCCTTAATTATCAGACCAGATGATTAATTTAGAGCTTAGTATTCTTGACAGCAATGTGTTTATTACTTTTCATGCAGTACGGGCATGGTATAACTAAATTGTACAGGTACCTGAAGTACCAGTGTTACTTTTTTGCTGATGAAACTGATGAACTGTGGCATAGGTGTCATGGGAAATCATTCAACAAGAATGATGTATATCTCTTCCTTCAGAGTATAATGACCTCCCGGGAGCTCTAAGCTTGATGGCAAAGTTACAAATTTGAGCTATTGCTTCTTGTTGTGTGTCTTTGTATAGATGGGAAGATAGATATAACATTTGTCTTATGTTCAGGGTTATTAGATGCAAAGTTCTTTTTGTTCCCAGATAAAATGCCAAGGATATTGCTGAGATTTATTTTCTCTTATTTTCTGTAATGGACAGCACATTGCTACTCATGCTTGGAGATGGCCCATTTTTCTAATGTTCCTGCTTACCTTTTCCTTCCAACTAATTTATTATCTTTGATACTTCCTTTTATTATAGCAGTATATCATATTCTAGGAGATTCTCAACAGTCATAATTATAAGTTACACATCAACAGAAGTCCTTAGACTCTGTGTGTTCTTTTCTAAACTTATAAGTCATTATATTTGCATGTATCACACATACTTGTGTGACAGGTCTGTGTTTCTTGTGTGCCAGTTGTATGGCTTTTGGGATTTTAAGTTGACTATGTGTGACCATGTGGAAATGGGAAAGTTCTAGCAATTTACAATATGCATAAGCTGAAGAGGCTTTTTAGTAGACTGTGTGACATGTTTTATTTTGTGTGGGTAGCATTTGGTGATTCCAGTATGATTCTAAGATGGGTATCCTTTGACTTTCAGGTCTTGTAGCAAGATTTGGTATAAACAGTGGAAACATTTCTGAGTCAATTTTTTGCAAGATAGGACCATGCTCTACTGGAGACTCAGAGACTGGAATTAGACCGGTCCAAAGACATAGTTTTCCAAGAGAAGATAATCTTCACTAAAGTAAGTCTCCTGATTCAGATTTTCCCCCAGTCCATTAAATTTCCTTCTTTAGAAAGGACAGAATGGAAACATAATGAAAATACCCCATACAAATAATAAAAAGCATCATTTCACTTGAATGCAGTTTGATGTTTCGAGAGGCTGTGGGTCAACACGTGCCTTGAAAATCAGAATGTCCAGGCTTGAGTCAGAAATGTCTAGCAGTGCCTGTGGGCAGGTAAGTGTCACCTTTGGCATTGGCATATTACAGAAATATAAAATGAAAGGTCAAAACATAAGTAGTATGTGATTCTTGAGATGATGCCTCTATTTCTTGGTTTTAAAAACCCCTCCTAGAGGTACATGATGTGTGCTCAGGATACACGTGATACCTGTGTACTCTATAATACCAGATTACCCATTAGTAATTAAAAGTGGGAAAATCTTCCACACTCTCCAAATACTGTTGACCTTTATCAAATAGCTAGATCAGTACAGTATATACTTGAAATAATACTCGGTCAGTGTAGCTGGAAGCTTGTTACAAGAATTCAGTGCTTTTGACTAAAGCAATAGGGCCATTTATCCAGCAGAAATCAGTGAAAGGTGTCAGATTTAGTTCCAAATGGTCAGAAACTGTGCTCCCAGAATTGTGCCATTGGTAACATGGTGACCAGAGTGACATAATTTTTTCCAGGAGCATGATTTGATTGCATAAGCACAATATGATCAGATTCAGGAAGCATTATGATAAGACCTCCATAAAATTAATCTGGTCCCATGGAGAACTGTACTCAGGTCTTTGGTGGCATTGATAAAAATGGATAATCTTTTGGATTTTTTTTCCTCTATGAAAGGATATGCCCTACGTAGGTTTCAGATTTCTTCAATCTTTCCTAGTGGAGATGTGATAGAAGATCGTTCACATCTGTGTGGTGAAATGGAAATTACTCACTGGCATGTGATTTCCAATGGCAAATTTCAATAATTTTAGAAATGAGTCCTAAACGTAGTTTAGCTTTGTGGTCAGTGGTGTTATCCCAAAATAGACAACCATTTCTAAATGAAAAATGCATCTTGTGGGTTGTGCCAATAAGGATAATTTATTTATGCAACAAGCAAAAAGACTATTTTTATGCTTTTGCAGCCCTTTTATTGGCCTGCTTTCCCCCCTCTTTTTTTAATTTCCGGTCTAAACTTCTTAAGAGTTGACAGTGGTGTGCATTTCAAAGTTCTTTGTGGTGGCTGTCCAGGAAGCTTGGCTAGTCTTCTTGTAAGTCCCTAGTTGATTCTACGATGTGAATTTCTTGGTTGTTTTGTTTGTTTTTTTGGCACAATTTTATAAAAATGGGGATTCAAGCTTAGTTTTAACTGTGCTTTTTAGCTTTGGAAATTTCTCTTCCAATCTTGATATTCTGAGGCGAAATTTAATGGATTGCATGTGTTCATAGTAGAAAAATAACCTATTTGTAATGTCTGACATCAGAGGAGCAGAAGTGGAAAAACAGTATCCTTTGCCTTTCTTTGCATTCCCTTAATGAAGAATATTTCTTAGGTTACAACTAGTCTGCCACAACTCAATCTCTGCCTCCTGTGAATCAGAGGTAGGGATATATATATATATATATATATATATATATATATATATATACAAAAATGTATCTCTATTTCATTTCCTTCCCTCCACTCCCCTCCAAAAATGTTTGTGCTCTATTGTGATACTCTGTGATGTACGTTTACTACAGGGTCTACCCTTAAAGATACTGAACCCTGGGATGGGTTGGTTTGCAACACCCTTGGTCAGATGATAAATTCAGTGTCTGTTATAGGATTTTTTAGCTCTTTACTTTTTAATTTTTTTTAATTTAAAGAGAATAAAATCAAAGAAAATAGAATGGAAAAAAGCCAATCAAAACAAACCAGTGTGACACAGAACTTCACAACAATACGAAATATGGTAACAATAGTTACCATAATGCCTCCTGCTGTCTTGCAAATAGCTGCAGGTACCTTCAGATGTACTAACAATCAAACAGAACAGAACCAAGAAAAACAAAACAATGAATGAGATACAGGACTTCAAAACAAACCAATAATAAATCCAAAATGGTTACCATGCTAGATTTTGCTATCTTTGAAATAGCTGCCCATGCTATTGGATAAAACAAAACAGAACAAAGCCCAACCCAACAAGACAATGAATATGATACAGGACTTCAAGACCATAGGGAATTAACAATGATAGCCCTTTCCTGATACCATCAAATGCTTATCTTCCAATCTAACTTTTGTTACAGGCAACATGGCTGACATTGAACACCCCTATCTGCCCCAGTGCTTTACAGGGAAAAATAAATGAATCAAATTTGAGAAGTTCCAGGTACTAAATTCTGGTGCTTGGTGACTGTTGAGACAGAGAGATGGATTGAAATTTTGGGTCTGCACTAAGAAATAATTAAGCCTGTGAGTGGGGCTGGGTTCATGGCTACCGCCCTTAGCATGACCCAGTGGCTTTCCTGGAGTTCCTTCTGGGTCTGCGTGTATGTGGGAGAGCATTAGAGTATGGCATGAATGTGTTTTATAAAAACTGTTAGCGCCAACCTGATATTGACTGGGGAATAAAACATGGATGACCCCATTGGGAGTTATTTTCAAGGTTATTCAGCTAAGGAAAGCATGGATTCACATTATTAGCAGCCATTCTGTAGTCAGTGGGTTAGGTGGGCTATAGGTTTGGATACTGGTTTAGCTCATTAAAAGGATGTTGATGACAGCAACCAAGTGTAGCATCCCCTGGGCACACATGGTGGATTTGCATGAAGGAATGAATTCAGAAGTTTTCTCTGTAAAGTGATCTTGTTTTCTCAATCAACATAAATAAGAGAAATAACTCAACTTGACCATCGCAAACCCAAACAGGGCAATTTTAGGGTTTGTGTCCGATTGTTCTCCAGCCATCTAATGTGCTCAGGGAAGCAAGAAAGTAGTTGGCAACTTTCTAAGGGCATGTGGCTTATTCTCAAAATGGAAACTGAGGAGAATGAAAGCATGGTAAAAGGAAAAGGGACAGACTAAAATGGAGGAAAAGGAGAATTTACATTTAGAAGAGAGGATGATTTTAGAGGATAAATTAAACATGCAAGCATAAACAATGCACCAACCAAGGTTACTGAAGCCAGGTACAGAGGAAATGGAGCTAGAAGACAGAAAGGACTTCCGAAAGCTGAAGAGAATTCTCTCTCACAGTGGTGCTACACCTAGGAGACCTCTTGGCAGCCGTCACGGCCACAGTTTTGAAGGGTGAGTGACTGCCCCACTGCAAACACACAGGAGTGCCTCTGCCTGCCATGCGGTTCCAGGAAACTTTAGAAGGTGTGGATTTAAGACTCTAAAGCAAGGTACAGGAAAAAAAAATGCATGAATGTGACTTAAATACTTATCACTGCCAAAGTTCAGAGATATTGTACTTCTGCAATAAAGATCACAGCAAAAGCGACATCACAATGAAGTAACCCATATGAAAATTTTTGATTTTTCAGTACATATAAATGTTACATTTTTTTTAATTGGTATTGGGAATCGAACTCACGACCACATGCTTGCAAGGCAGGCACTTATGCCACTGAGCTAAATCCCTAGCCCCCTCAAATGTTACATTTATGCTGCACCATAGTCCATTAGTCATGCAATATTATTATGTCTCAAAAATATACATGCATTAATTTAAAATGTGTTTGGTTGGTTAAAAAATGCTAAAGACCTTCTGAGGTATCGGAAAAATGGTGTCTAAGACTTGCTCCACAAAGGATTGAAAGAAACGTTCAATTTTTTTTTTTATTTAAAGAGAAAAAAAAGCAAAACAAAACAAAGCAATAAAAGTGTACAAGTAATACAGAATTTCAAGAAAAAAATATACAGTAAGAAATCACTAGTTAATAGGCTACATATTGTCATCTTAGAAACAGTTGTCCAAATTACAAAATTAAAGCATACAAAGTGGACATTCATACAGTGAGATTGCAGACAGTTCTGTTCAATGATCCAACAAAAACTCAGTAATATGGTTTTCTATCCTACATACTTAAATATACATGCAGATATATCCTTCAGATCACTTTCTTTTCCTCTCTTTTTTTACAATAACTATTATACGTTTTGGGTTTTATTACTACCACAGTTCTTATAACTTTTTTTTTGAAGAGAAAAAAATGTGACAAAGCACAACAGAGTCAGTTAGAACAGAAGAATGGACTTAGTGCATGATGCAAAAACAGAATACCAGGTGATCAACAATGGTTACCATTATGCCTCTTGCTATCTTAAAAAGATTTGCCTATATTATCAGGTATAATAAAATTGAATACAACAGTACAGGACAAGACCAATAAAACCTACATTGTGACCTTACAGGACTTCAAAAGAAGATAATAGTCAAACCATAATGGGCATCACAGTAAATCTTATTGTCTTCAAAGTGGTTACCTATACCCTCAAACTTGGTACTATCAAACAAAACAGAATAGAGCAAAATCAGTCAGAACAAGATGAGAGCAATACAAGGGTTCAAGTCAGGTTAATAGGAAAACAAAACAAAAAGTTACTATAATATATCCTGCTATTTTTTTAATTTAGTTTTCCCTTAATTAAAAAAAAAGATAAGAAAAAATAAATTAATTTTTAAAAACAAGAAGAAAAAAAAGGGGGAGATTGAGATAAAAGAGGACATAGCAACAGAACAACACAGGTCAGAACCGAACAATTTAAGCATCATAGTGTTTCACCACCAGATAACCTGACATAATAGTAGTTACCATAGTGCCTCTTTCCTTGAAATACTTGAGTATAACTTCGTATACTGTAGCGTCAAACATATCAAGACAGTGTGAAACCATTCAGGAGAATAAAAGTATTACAGGGTATTTAGAACCAGCTAACAGAAAATGAACAACAGGTTCTATATTATCTCTTTGCCTATAAAGAATTTTGTTTATACTATTGCATATAGTAAAATATAATAAGAT